ATGCAATGTGTCATTGCTAATATCCGTTGGCACGGTAAGTAAAGAAAAATCGAGGCGGCGTAAGGTTTTGTACTATGAAGTGCATTTTAGTTGTGCGTTCTGGCATAATCTTCAACTGTGGTCTGTAAAATTTCTTAGACACGGCTGACTTCATCGAATGTGGGCACAGTTTTAAACACATTTGCGAGGTTTTTTCCGAATTGATCCCAGAGGCTCGATAAATGTGAAGCAGGAGCTGAAATATTTACCAGTATCAGTTGTTATCATATACTCAATCTAACTAAAGGCTATCCTTGAGAATTTTCATTGTCATTTTATGCATTCTCTCCCCCCCCCAAGTAAATTTTCGCCCGGCACTCCGTCAAATGTCTCCAATAATTTTTTCATTATTAGCCTAATTTGTGCACACACAGCGTGCATATTTACCGGGTTCATATCTTTGTTATTTGTCCGGCAAGATCCTGATATGTCCTTATCGTTGTTGTTGTAATTGTTTCAGTATGACAGCAAAATTTGTTCCCCTTGTTGCAGAAAAACATTTATTTGGCTGTGGTCTGGCTGGTGTGGAACATTCTTGATTTTGCATGCTCTGTTGTAGTGACAAGTTTCCTGTTGTCCGTCTCCGACGTGGTGAGTACAAATGGCAAAACGGAACAGTTCATTATCTTCACATCAAATACTTGAGGTGTCTAGCGTGGAGTTCAATGACATTATCACACGACTCGGAGTACAATTTTTGACAATAATGACACAGTAACTTCATATTTATACAAAAAAGACAAACAACTATGAAAAATAGCTAAGATTGGCAAAAAACTGTACATAAAAAGCATGCATGTTTAAACTCTTCCAGCCCGACGTCTTGTATGTTTAGTATTAACGCGTTAGATTCCTCTTCCTAATTTGCAAAATCTTACTTTTCCTAGTAAAGTAGGTTTCATAGAACTCGAGAACAGATTGCACCTTTTTTTTGGATAAGTTCAAATATTTTCAGACATCGAACTTTTTTCTCTCTCTTAAGTTCAGCTGTTGATAGTCTGTCAGCATTAAATTCATATTGTCTTGAACCAAGAGATTATATCTTTCCTTCACAAATATGAATTTTTTTTGCGGCCAGTTTCAATCACACATGTGAAACTATCCTAAACTAAACTGTCGGTCAATTCATATTATAACAAAGTGAACTAACAATATTTCTTTGTTTATCGCATCACAGTTTATATATGCAGATATTTTGATAATCCTGTGGTGGTTGCTTACGGTAAGTTATTTTTTTTTTCATTGTATTTATCACTGATCACGGGCGTGCGTATGCAGAAATAGTAATAACTGTTACTTTTTAATGCCTATTTTTCGATAAGTTTTGCTAAGGACCCTGAATCACTAAATTAATCCCTCTTCCTGTGCTAGGAACATGTTGTCTTTTTTCCTTGGTGTATAAGTTTTATACCCTATGTTCAAGAACCGCAAAACTCTTTCACTGCTAGTTTCAATCATGATACTGAAAAGTAGAAACTAGCCTATAATAAACGTCATGATTGACATATAAAACGAACAAAATCACCTTAATCCTCCAATTGAAAAATTAATTTATCAAATAACTATAATATACAATAGCTGCAACGAGTAAACATGGACCAATCATTATTATGTTTAATTTTCATCATTTACTTTCATTTTCTATTTCGTTCATTTATTTCATCTCGTATTTCAGATCTATTTCATGATTGTGGTTCATTCGTACATAGAGGCCCTCCGTGAAGATCCATCAGGGGCAAGCGCCGGTTTTCCTAGAGCACACGTTTACCAGTTTGAAATGGTAACCAGATTTACGTCAAGATCTTACTGAACACAGATTTCCGTTTATGACCTTATGGAGTACAAAGCTTGTGCATCAAATTTATTGATTCTTCTTTAGATCAATAATTAATCTGTGTTTAATATTTTGCCTCGATCCACAGGTTGGTTTACGATATGCTCGCCCATGCGCACTACCACCAAACACAGCTGTGACGTCACATATTGGTGAAGGATACCCTCCCGCATGCGCAGTACCGGACAAGAATACCATGACGCCACAGGCTGGCTATGTTTATCCTCCTCCATATCCAGCTGTGACGTCATATACTGACGTAGGATACCCTCCTCATCATCCAATGGCTGGTAAGATTACCCTGTCGTCATACGACGACACTGGATATCTTCCTTCACATACAGCACATGGCAGAACTACCATGACGTCACAAGATGGCTCAGGGCATCCTTCTACTTACACAGCTCCTGGCACGACCGCTGTGATGTCTCAGAATGGGAATTCTTCTCAACACACAGTACCTGCCAAGGCTATGGTGACGTACGTAGGCTCTGAGTGATGTCATGATAAGCTGTGAATGACGCAAGAGCTCACCGGTCATTGACAAGCCTGAAAAACGACTGGGCATGATAAACATTCTAAACCAGTTAATTTATGTAAATGTAAAAGTGGCCCCAGAATAATTCTAAGTAATTTCTTAAGTTTGCAGTATTTTTTTTTTCACGTTATCATTCCCTGGTATGGTTATAAATCATATTTCAAGATTTTTGCATGTAACACATTATAAGATAATGTTAACCTTTGCGCCGATTGGCGCGCTAATAGGTAGTTATTAGGCAGTATTCACCAGCAAGCGAAACTAAATGGCCTTGGTGTACAAGTTTGGCTTAAAAAGCGTTTTTTTTTTCCGAAATGAAGCCTTTTTGCATCCTTAAGTTAATAGGAGGTATTTCGGGACACTTTGAACGTTGATTTATCATAATAGGTCTAGAATTCCAGTTGATCAAGATCACTGTAAATTTTAAAAAAAGCATAAATCTAAGTAAATATGCTATTGATATACCATGGTTCTCCTTCATCTTTTCATTGGAATCTTTTGTTCCTTTCTGGTCGCTTGGAACCCTCGTAGACCCGCTAACTCAAGTCTCCTTGAACGTTGGCAGCTAGTGCCATGCCCCTGGCCATTAGTTCGGACAGTTGTCAATTTGTTGTGACGGGGACTTAATGGCATGAGTGGGGTACGCATATCTTGGACAACTTGCGAAGAACACTCGGCTGAGCCATTTAATTTGTCCTGCATCTCTTGAAATTCCTCAGGATGAATAATTCTGAGTCATATCTTAAGATTGCAGTATTATATACTGCACTATATCTCCCAAAGAATTCAATATTTTGATCTATCTTTCTCACACACTTGTCAACTCAATGAACTTAGCATTTGTGCCAAATTTGAGCATTATCACCCTGGCCTGGTTTTCTCATGGACACGCTTTAGAAGCAAACCGTTCTAGAAGCGATTATCAATTAGCCTACAAGACAGGTCTACTTTGTCTATTTATTAAATTTCGCATTTTATTTTTTGCGCATTCGCAAGGCGGGGCGCGAAGTACTCAAGCGGAGATTTGCACCAACTGTACGAAATAATACAGCTGAATTCGTCAAGCCCTAAAAATTTCGATAATAGTTTCACCATGCCACCTTCCCTCATTACCACCAGTGTTAGAAATTCTCATAGCCCTTTAATTTTGTCCAATCGCTTTGACGTTAAACGCCTTTAAACTCTTTACGGTGGTCAATTCACCTTATCAACTCAGTTGATAACAATAAATTTACCTTTAATATATCCTGAAAGTGCTTATATGGAATTGTGAAATACTAAATTACAATTTACTTTCTCTTTTCAAAAAATCAAAACTAGTCTAACGAAGACTGAGGAATTCTCATTTGATAAAAGTTACTTTTAAATACTTCAACAGTTGGCTTATAGTATCAGGGGCAGTCGAGGCAACCAAAAGCTAATTTTTCACTCTTCGTCATTCTTCTGAGTTCTTGTAACGAACTGTTGTACAATAAATATCGACGCAACCGTGGAATTTTCGGAAAAATTTCCGCACAGCCCCATACTTAAATATGCATGCACACCTTAATGGTGATACAGTGAATAATAAAGCCTCAGATATGGAAGCACAATGAAGTATGGGGCTGTGCGGAAATTTTGCCCAATTTCCTGCCTATTTCTCTAAATGGCATTAATTAAGATACCCATGGAAATAAAATCAAACGCGTTCGAATCTGCACGTTTCTACTCCGAACAGCCATCGATATTCAATTGTACACCCACGGCGGCACGTGCACGATGTTTTCGTTGAAACGTGCGTGACCGCATGTTAAAAACGTGAGTCATTTTCTTAACCTTTGACTTCAAGAAAAAAAGGAATAAAAGATATCAGCTCACTTACTCATAGACAATGGCCATAGAAACAGACCGTCTAGGTCAATACTGCCTCGATAGAAAACAAATTCTCATAACTTCCGGCCGAAGAAATGTGCGAAGTTCAGAAAGGTGAATTAGGAGTCGGATCTTTGAAGTGGAGAAGTGGAAAAGTATTAAAGTATTCAGACGCAACGTTTGCAACTCAGATGAGTTTGACGTTCGGAAGAGTTACTTCGATTTATCAACTATGGGAAAGTTTCTATGCGGCAACGTTTTACGAATAATCGCTCTGCATATTGCACTCTGTGGCTTGGTAAGTTCTCATGCCCAGATCAATATTTTAATGTCTCAGTTCTTTTTTCAGCCTCAAAAAAAACACTCCCAAACTTTAAAGCCGCCAGGTTTTAAAAACCGCATGCGAAACTTTTTAAGTTCTTCATTTCCAGTCATGTTAATCTTCTCGATTTTTGTCCACCGTTTTCTTTTCTTTGCTTTACTTATTATGGACTCTTTTGTGTTTTCCTAACATAGAATATTTGACAAATTTTCAAGTCATCCAGCCATTAATTTCCTCTCATACCAACTTTTAGCTACTTGCTAATTAAAACGTTGCTTTATCAGTTTCTTGCGTTAATGTATAGGTTCTTAATCACTCCGTTCTCTCTTGTGAGTGATTGATTCAGCTATAAATGCGGACGAACTTAAGTTGATATTCATCCTTTGGATTTCAAATTCGATTACTGGTAGTCATCTATCGAGCTCGGGTGTCGTCTACGGCGATGTTAGTTCGTTTAACAGTCCTAATGGAAACTTTGCATGTCACGCATGTCACGCATGACCTCTTCGGAGTCTGTAAACAACATATAATTTATAGGGTGCACTTATTCATTTCCATTCAAAGAGCTAGAAAATATAGACTAAGGACACCAGGAGTTCTTAAGAATTATTTGAATTTGGATTTACACGCTCTGCAACTAACAACATCCCCAATCTGCAAAAGTTTTCGTCAAATTGTACTTTGCATTTTCATTATTCTTGTCATCCAAGACAAAAACGTCCTTATTCCAGCGAAATACGATCACTTGAGCCCTAAATTTGTGTATAAGGTTGAAAATTAAAAAGAAACCAGAGACGCAGAGGCGATTAATAGATAACGATAACATATTTCGCTTCTAAGAGAGATCGAGCAGTTAACAACTGACGTGAACCGGAAGTAACATACGTAGTGTTTACAAATTTACGTTCTCAAACTCACGTCCCCTTTCAGTTGAGAGATAACGCCATTTCATTCTGGATGTTTCGTTCGTCTTGTGGCTGCAACCAGCGTTGAAACATGACGGCGAAAGCAACGATAATTTAGCGAAAATCTAAAGATTTAATGGACAGAACAAAAGCGTTTCGTGCGTGCTTGCGTGTGTTATCAAATTTATACATTTCCAAACAGAGATGCAGATAGAAGGATGGATTAAAGGTATTATTGCAAAAAACAATCCTTCAAGATTGGGTTGCTGTAATTTGTACAAACTGTAGTAATTTGCAACATGTCATCTATACCCGTTTTTCAATTTCAGGGAGTGTCAATGTTTTCAATTTACTATCAAATTCAATTTGTTAAATGGCTTAAGCCTCTCGAAGAGATCTACACCAGGGACTTTCCATTCACCAGAGACTCATTTGAAGGTAATTTGATTTAATTTTTCCTCTTCCTCGAATTTATGGGGGACATTTTGGAATTACACATATTGACCTCATTTTCGTTCCAAAACAGGATTTAACAACGGGAACCAAACCGTTCTCTGGTGATCTTTAATTTGGTTCAATGTTATGTTCAACAAGATTATGATCTAATACGATACACGACTGAATTTACCGGTGTCAATTTTCATTGAGCCCTCAACAAACTCTAAAAATACCTAAAAATTGCACGGAGACTGCTAGCCCACATGTTAAAGTTATTCTAAATATTATTTAAACTTTTGAAATCAGTTTCTGGCTATATTTTCTGACTAGTGTTCAAATGATTTGGGGAATAGTTTGAATTGCAATAAGTAAGTGCGAGTACATATACATTTTTCAAAGCATAATCAATTTGCTCGCCCAACGTACACAGGAACTTGAAATTAGTCAAGCTCTTTTAAAGTCTAATTGTGTTTTAGTATCCATACTCCAAAATCCACTCGAAATTTATTACCAATATACTTCAAAAAAATCACTTGTGCATTTTCCGATCACTAAGGCAATCTTTTTGTTATTATTGTTTGGTTTTTTTTTTTCTTCTTTACTAACTACAAGCTTATATTTTTCTTTCGTCCACTTAAATAGAGTATTATAAATTGAGCCGAGCCTATATCGCTTTTAAAGCAATTACCTTGTTGGTCAACTTGTTGCTGCTGGTATCTATTGCCTTGGTAAGCTCAACATGGAAATTTTTATGCATTAAATTCTGATGGATTAACGTTATATTTAAGTAATTAGGTAAGTTTGTCCAGTTTTTCCAGAGTACCTCTTACACTATTTTTCACTCAAAATTTACAGCTTGCTTCTGTTACCTTCTTTTCACAGAAGAACCAATATTTGGCAATAACCTGGCTTGCTTGGGGCATTATCGATGTTCTTTTCATGTTAGCACTGTTGTTTTACTGCATCTCTGAATGGAAACTGGTGAGTAAAGATTAATGTTCACCTAATACGATGCCTGTCATATCTAAAGAACAACTGCTAAAGAATCTCTGAAACATGTCATTTTTTTTTCTACTTTTCCTAATATCAGCAACACCGTTACTTGGTTGGGATACTCGCCTGGTGCGTCATAAAGGTACATTTAGTCGTTACTTTATTCACCTGCCGAGTTTATCTTACAATTCGTTGGGTAAAGGATGCGAGATATTTCATAATTCAGCAATCGATTTAACTGGAAATCAAATGTGTCAAAACATCTCTCCCAAAGTGCCTCCATCAACCCAGGAAAATATTCTGCATAGTAACTGCAAACTATCAGCAAATTGAAAAAACTACCAGGAGGTAACCTTTAGATAAATGGACTAGCATTTCATCCTGAGGAAGTGGCAATATTTCTCGTGGCTTCATGGGAAAATGGAACGACCTTAGATAAGGTACAACATGAACTCATTCCTAAAGCTGGTGAAGAGTCTAAGATATCGTACCCACACTGTATCAAGATTTCTCTACAATTTGCAGGAAATGAGACTCAACTAACCATTGCTGGTTCTTTTTCTCTTAAGATTTTCTTCATCTTCGTGATGTGTGCATATATTGCGTTCCTTCGTAAAGAACTCTTAGCTCAGGATATGGAAATACGAACTGTTACTTGTGCTGATATCCATGGCAATCAAACTCAAACGGTAACTACATCTTTATCTTGATTTTTTCACTACCAAAGTACAATTTTTAATCAGCGAATATAGATTTTAGACAGTGTAAGTGAGCCGTGATAACATCTGCCTGATCGGTCGATAGACTTGATAAAAGTATTGATGAAAACTATTTTGCACTGGAAATCTGTTTTTGGTAAATATTACCAAAATAGGATCACACCAGGAAAATTTATACCAAACTGTTGCTTAAATAATGTCTGTACGTTATGACACGGCTCGCTTTCGTTGTTAACAATAGCGTCGTTCTATTTGTTAGCTGCCGCTTCAGAAAGATGCGGACTAAGCACAGGAGTTATTACTGATCATTCTCGTTTTATTCATCTGGTTGGCTTTTTTTTTATCGATTCATTCATTTATCCGTTTCATTTTCTAATTCACAGGTTGACATGGGACATCTTTTCCAATACGCGGCTCCGTGCCAGGCCTCTGTGACGTCAAAGTCTGACGTAGGATACCCTCCCTTACAAGCCGCACCGCACAATACTGTGACGTCTTATGATGGCTTATTGCTACCTGAAACGATGCAAGTTGACGAAAGAAATCTTTCTGCATCAGCGGTACCGGACAAAACTACTGTGACGTTACTTTAAGGCGTAGAATATCCACTTCGAGACGTCGTAAGATGGGAGTAGCACCCGTCAAGGTTTCTGTGACGTCTGCCGGTCTTGCATGACGTCACGGCTAGCAAGCATAACTAACTTAAGAATTTGCTGATTACCGCTGGTGATGTTTTATTTTGCCTGAACAAAATAGATAGGGCAAGCTACTCTTTTGAGTTATTCATTTTACCTCTAAACGTAGCGTTAGGAATAACTTATTGCACACCTTTTCCATAAGAGCTGGAAGGCTTCAACAAGATACGGTAGCAAATTAAGGAAACGATGGATGTTAATAACAATAACACAAGCGTCCAAAGGGTTGGCGCAAATGAAAGACTCGTGTACGTTATACTGGGAGACTTAGGTGTCTGTGGCTAGGTAGGACTATGAAGATAAATAATCCTAAATTATGTTACCAAATGGTTATGTATTGTTACTAAATTAAAGGCGGCTGGATAGGAAACCCGATCGACTTCTTTGATATTATGGAGCTGACTATGCAAACCGTCCAAATATCTCAATAAATCTCTAAGAACTGATCTCTGATGCAAATTCCTTTACTTTATCCAATCACATTATGTGAACACAGGAGCACAGTCGGGGAGCTCTTAGCCTAAACGGCACCATCACTCTTTTCGTTTTTGATTTTTACTACTTTCCTTTGCAGCAACCTTCGGTAACCATAAATATTTTATTTTGAAATAGTCACTTATGAAAGATTTTCATGTAATCCTTGGAATTAAGGCTTTCTTTAAAAATGATGATTATGAGTTACTGAGTAAATTTTCCCCGCTTACTATCCCTATCGCTAAAGCAAGAATGTCGGGATTAATGCAAGCGCGAAGTACGAGCTAATCCATAAAGATGTTATATATATGGCTGTGAGGTCTTCCGCGCATAATTTTATCAGACGCGTTTTGCAATCCACGCTGTCTTATGTTGTACGCAGACTCGTGACTTAAAACGTCGCATACATCTTCCTGATAGGACTATTTATCTTGTGAAAACATTTTCATTTAGCCTCTGTCCTGTTTCCCTTGAGAATCGTGCTTGACATCAGGTTAAAATGGTCAAAATAAACACCCATTTTTTAACAAAAACTTCTCGTCAGGGTTTCTCGCACGAGACGAGCATGTTTGCACTGCCACATATCAACCAGTTATTTCAACACAAACACAGAGATGTTTATGAACGCTTCACGCCCTGACATTAGTGTACATCCTCTCCATTCTGTTCTCTATATATTTCCAAACATGCTGACAAGGAGAATTTGTTTAACCTGCAAGCAAGAACTTTTGTAATTTGTGATCATTTCTCTTATCCTCGTGACCTTTAAGTGTGACCCAGGGGTGATATTGTAAGAAGAAAGTCGTTGCTAGCCACTGTTTGGGTCAAAGGATCGAGCAGGACTTTCTGGAAGCGAATATCAATAAGCCTACAAAACAGTTTTTTTAAGGCGATATGCGAGGTGAGGCGCGAAATGCGAGCCACGAGCAAGAGCAGAAATCGCCTTCCACTAGTCTCGCATCCACTCTCCTGGAAAAAAAAACGCAGAGAAATTACGCTTATTCTGCAAGATAGTATAGTTACTCAATGGATCAGCAGGTTGAAGGATCGCTGATTAACTGTTGCCTAAAGGTTTGCTTGTTTTTTATTGGACGAGAGTTGCTCAACCGTCGAGAGCCCGATTAACATGTCATGGACCATGCTCCCCCGGAAAATTTTCAAATTTTGATCTAAGGGCAGAAAAAATACAGGGCATAGAGGAATACAAGGAAGGGTACACCTAATACCCTTTCCTTCGGGCTTCAGAATACACGCGGAAAACTTTATCACTGAAGAGCTGATGAAAACAAATTGGACGTCGTTTGTTTGTTGACTGTTCAGAGGAAGTAAATTAATCAGTTTTCAACGCATCCGTTAATTCTGTTTTCCGAGCTCACCATGCGCGTTTCCATGTTTGCATGTTCAATTGTAACCCTGTATTCAAAAATATGATGAAACAGGATACAAACAGATTAAACGTGTTCTCCGCTCCAATTGGCCGCCATATGTTTTGATTGACAGATGTTTTTCAGACATTTCATCGTTCAAGGATTACAGCGCCCAGACAAAGAGCAAATAGCAATTAGTGTCCTGACTTTCCCGTTTCTTTACTTTACGTTTAAAAAGCAACAAGTGGGCTCGAGCTATGGCGATTCATATGCAGACTTTTTGTTGTGGATGTAACCTGCGAACAGGCATTATGTTAATCGGCCTCTTCGGCATCGTATGTATCCATATTTTCCATACGTAGTTTGCCATGTTTGTCATCGAATGACAGTATCGATCCTGCGTAGTTGGTTGTGTTTTGGTAGTTTCCAGCGGCGGAGCCGCAGCCAATTCTTATGGAAACGGAGGGGAGAATACAGGGAAACCGCCTGCTGAAAATTTAAAGGATTACAAATCTAACGAGCTCATCAGAGAACGGAAATTCAGAAATGCCACCGAAGCAAATTATCATGTCGCAAGAGCATTATTTTTTGTGGCTTTAGACTCGTAACTACTCAAAAGTCCTTTTTTCTTTTGACTGATATAGTTCTGCAGTTGAAATTGTGTTCAAGTTTGGATAGTGCATGATGCATAGTGTACCCGGAATGAAAAGGAGGAAATTAATTTGGCGCGGTTTTTCTTTAAGGAGATAATTAGATTTATTTAGTAAAAATTCGTAAATGTGTTGTTGTGAGTCCTTCTGCGAATGGGGCTTTGAGCGCGAAGCACAACGAGTTTGCTTGAAAATTTCAAAAGGTATATAAGGCGGTGTTTTGCCGCGGCAAAACACCGCGTTATATCAGTTAGGGCTATTTTCATAATTATAAAACGGAGCTTGTTTTAAATCGATCTCGTTCTCTGATAGCATTCCACCTTGATGTGCATTATATCGATTTTTTTTTTTAGGAAACAAACCTTTGAGAGTAGTAAACAGTGAAAACGATTGACAATTTGATCTTTGTAAGAAGAATAGCCAGTTGCCCTCTGGCGCTGGAAGGATGTCAAACACGCGTATTTTGTGACACTCTGTTCATGAAATCAACGCGTGAGCAAATGTGTTATTGTTTATAACTACGAGATTTTCCTGGTGGCAAACTGACATCTTACCATGAACCAAGACTTTTTTACGTTGTGTTAAAGAGGAATTTCCAGAGATGGTTTCTTAAGAGTATTTGTAACGCGTGACCCATATGGTCGACAAGACGTGCATTTTTTTAAGAGCCAAAAGGTAATCAGAGATGTGTTAACATAAACTTTCTCAAGGCTGAAGTCTGTCACGCCGCGCATGCCCTGAACTGTGATTTCGTACCTTTAAAATTAGCCCGCATGAAGGACAGGCCGATCATTCTTTGCGTTTTCGCGAGAGAAGCACTCGCTTTTCGCGCTCACCTCGCGTGCAATTCACGTTGTCCCATGAAATGCGAGATTTGAAAGTAGCATACTCAACTATTGACGGTATTATGAGTATTTTACGCTAAAGAAGGCCTCAAGATAGTGTTATCATTCAATATTGCCCTGTTAAAGCGCCAAAAAGGCCATTGATTTTCTTTTCACATAGTTCTCAAATGGAGTAGGAATTTACTGGAACCACACAGCCGCGGAAACTGGTGAACTGGATGCATTGCCAATCTCCCAGGGATACAAAAAAGGTATCCAAGGCATGTTCATTGACTGGATCTACACAGAGAGTATCAATGGTCCTTTACAATTTAGGAGAATATGGATTTCACTCATGCTAAGAGATCATCAAATTCGAATGAGATGCATGCATAGACCTACAAAACAACCTCTACGTTCCGCAGTAAATATTGCGAATGAGACGCTTAACTCTTGAAAGAAACCTCTTGCAACGAGATGCATATAATGTGATATGAGAGCTAGTTTGAATATCTGAAATGCAGCCAACTACTGCGAGGTCGTGGTAATTATAAATCTTCCAAAACCATCCTAATTTACTTCGGGCGCGTGAACGGAACCCTGAGTCATTCTCCACTGCTCCTCTAATTTCTCGCTGCCAATTTGCAAGTAGGAACTTTTCCGTGGGGAATAATCTCTGGCTCGAAAGAACCCTTAGTGAACACTATTTATCTTAAATTTCAATCTATTGTATTTCCTTTCTTTACAGTTTTAGCCGATTTGAGTATGGTTGCCCTTGCATTTTCCGCCGTTTCAATGTTGGCGGATGTCTTTCTTTTGATTTCCTACTGCATGGTAAGAAAACTTTGACCCAATGTCCCTTTTTCCTTTTATGACCACTTGTTTCGTTTATATAATAGCTCGTTTTTTCGGGTGAAAGTGAGTTAAAGATAGGTACACTTTGAACGAGAATAGAATAAGGTTCAGATTTATAATTGGAGTAGTTTTCAAATTAGTGTCGAAAGCAATCCGAAATTAAACTGGTTTTGCTTTACTTTGGTCTGTGATTGGTCCAAAAAACTCGCTCCATCCTCTCGACCAATCAGATGTAAAACTGAAACCATTCACGTCTTGGTCGCCCACGCGTTTTCTTCCCGCGCTTTGGGCAGTGATTTGGCTTACAAAGGTATTTTCCTTACTTCTGATTGGCTCTCGTAATTACTTTGGGTTTGGTTTTACGACACTGAATCGAAAAGCGCTCTACAAAGAAATCTATCGGCTGGCTTGTTAACTTATTATTTCTTCTCACTTTAAGAATACACGTTACGGGAACAAATATTTACCTCGTTTTGTTTTCGTATCATCAGCCGAGCAGATATCTGACACATTCCTGGATTATCTGGCGAATTTTTGTGATTTTCGGCTCCTTCATTTTGAACATTTTTCTCATGTCTGTTTGGGAGGGGGTAAGTCTTTTCCTTCCGTGAATATGTTTGTGACAATTGTTTAACAGTTAAGAGAGACGTTAAATTTCAATCACGGTAATAGACTGTAGCTTAGGAGTGGCCGTTCCCTTCCCCCCGCAAAGGAGGAAGGTTTCTTCTTGGGGGAGGGGGAACTGCTACTCGTAGGTTTTAATGCAGTAGAATAGGATGCGTTTTCGTTTTGTCACGAGCTTGGGACAAAGAAAATTGATAACTTAGAGAATTTCCAAGCTGAATTTATCGTCTTAAAGACTTTCGCTCTAACATATTTCCTGTTTATTTCTTCTTAGTTCTTGTTTTTGTTCTGTTTGAACATCTACGCATGGCTGTTAATGGTGAGTTTCACCTCTGTACACTGCTTTGGCTTTAATCTAAGAATCCGAAGATGTTCTGAGTTATAAATGTGACACATATTCCGTTTGATTCGTTCATTCCATCTTTCTTCGCCTGTTCTTTCCTTAGTTCAGCCAGTCATTCGTTCATTCAGTAGGTCAGTCATTATGTCAGTCAATCAATCAGTCTGTCGGTCTGTCAGTCAGTCATTAAGTTAGTCAGTCATTTAGTTAGGAAGTCGATCTGTCAGTCAGTGTGTCAGTTAGTTTGTCAGTAAGTTAATATAATTTAGGTTTTATCAACTGAGTTGATGATGACAATTGGCCACCGTAAAGAGTTTCAAAGCTGACATTTCAAGCGTTTGCCCTGTCATTCGCTCTAAAATACCAAAATTTATCTTCCTCGTTCCCCTACCGACGCAGCACCATAGTTTCTCTAGATACATACCCCTGATTTATTTGTCAGTTAGTTAGACTGTCAGTCAATCATTCAGTCAGTCCGTAAGTTACCATCTCTTTTCTAAATAGTCAGTTCTGAAATAAACTACCAGGGTCCAAGACGATCTAGTGGCATTCTACTCTGTTCAGCTGTGTTTCTAAATTTGCTTTGGAATATAATTCAACATCATTTTTAAGTATTTTAATTCATGTTATCGTCTTGTGATAATCGTTTATTTTCTACTGTTTTTTATCACATAAACTGCGGTGTTATACAGAGATTTCCCGCCCTGAGAAAAGTCGTAACAACACGCGTGAAAAAAGATCGTATTTTTTTCCACGTGTGTTGATATAGCCAATCAGCTGCTGACACGTCACTCGTCTCTGGCGCCCCTCGGTCAGATTCATGAATGAACGGCAAGTCTTCACTATTCTAAATACAAGTTGTTCGTTGGAGGTTTCTCGAATTGTTTGTGGCTAAAACACTAAAAAATCCGTATCGCTGACAGACAGTGAGGTTCAAATTTTCCTAGAAGAGGAAGAAAACCAATATACTAAAAGAAAAACCGAAAGTTACTTATTCAGTGGCTTTGGTGTTAGCATTTCTCTCGGCTGAGAATGAAAATCGACAACTGGAAGATTTGCCACTGACCGATTTTGGCCGTTTACCTGAAAGACTTCTTCTATCGGTAAGGATAATAAAAGAGAATTTTGTAAATTTAAAATTACGACCATTGTTGTTTTTGTAATCATGATTCAATGCATTTTTCTATCTTAAGAGTTAGCGCCAACGCACTCGACGGTTGTTATTCAGGGATTGTCGATTCATTAAATTAGTGAAGTCGGCTTTTCTTCTCAGTAAGAGCTCTTGTGTTTATGTGATAA